CTCATGGAGTCAGGAGGCTGAGGACAAGCAAGACCATCTCTTTTCCTCTGTCTCCAGATTCCTGATTGAGCTTCCTGACTCATCATGTGAACACAGGAGGGGACTCAGGGAATTGTGACCTAGCACGAACACCATGTCCCAAATGATTCCAAGCCCACATGTTGGTGTCACACTTTTGTATTTCTTTCCTCCCTTTCCTTTTGCTCACATCACTGTGTGGGAAGAGGATTGGCTCTGCTTTGCATAGGCCCTAAATCATTTATCCAAGGCTGTATACACACTAATCCAGTCAGTACTAGGTTCAGGTGTCCTGCTTCACCTACCTGGGATTCCTTCTGTCCACTGGGCTGAAATCCCACTCACATCGGCAACTTTATTTATCTGATAAACACTTGTAGAGCCCATGTTCCAGGCACTGTTCTAAGAGCTCCTACATCCTCACGACTCCCCTTTGGGGTAGGCGATTCTATTATCCTCATTTCTAGATGAGTCAGCTGAGGCCTGGAGAGCATGAAACCCCATAGGGTTGCTCAAGGTCACACAGCTGGGATGTAATGGGCCAAGATTTAGACTCAGGTGTTTCAGCTTCTAAGTTCTCTTCTGCCAATGAATTGAAGCCAAATGGAGAGAACCTATGAGGAAGAAAACTCCACAGGGGTGGTTTTTCCTTTCTGTTACACCTCAGTGTCAGCCAGTGACTTCCACTTCCTCAGCCCACACCACCCACGTGATGTGTAAATCCATCATAGCTCAGGAAAATTCAGTCACAACCCACCCCACAGAGGGGCATTTTGCCCTTGAGAATCGGGTTTTGTTTTTACAGATTTTCTCTCTTCTCTGAAAGGATAAAGATTAATACTTTCCCCTCAACACTTCAGTATTAAAGTACTTAGGCATCCTGGCTCAGCAAAGGCAAGGAGTCCTTAAGAGGTGAGTGAGTCATTCTTCATGAGACGGTCTCCCCCAAGTGCTCTGGTTTGCTACCTGCAAATGTGTTTCTGGCCACACACTCCAAGGTGACAGGCTTCTTTTGGCTGCCCCTGCTTCTGTGTGTCCCCTGCCTTCATTTTCTTGTTTGTGCTTGGATACCACTAGCTCTTTAGGAATAGAGGTGGGAGGATAAATTAATTTCTCCAGGAACCATTTCAGAGAGGTGGGAGGACTTAAAATGGCTTCTAACCGGTTCAAACTGACTCAGGCATGGCCAATGAAGCAAAACCAGAACAGATTCATATTTTTAAAATTTGGGTGTTCTGGAGCCATAACGGGAACAGGAAAAATTACAAGCTGAAGCCTTGGAATGGGAGATTCAGAAGAGGCGTAGTGTGCCCTTTCAGGAGCCTGATGAGTGAAACTGGACTACTGTCAGGACTAAAGAGAGAGACACACATTCAAAGTGGCATGGTTGGCTGCCATCTTTGAGTGGGGCACTATTGTTTTCAAAATCCAAAGGGCAAGAGATTTGGTTGCTATGCAACACACACGCTGCCCTGGGTTTCTAATAGGGAGATTAAGTTTCTAGCAGGGCTTTAGTCCATAATTTTCCCTGTTCAGGTTATGATTTTGGTTCACCCAAACTTTAAAAATTTGGGTCTGTTCTGGTATCCTTTCCTTGGCCATGACTGAACCAGGAAAAACCAGTTCAAAGCCCTGTTCCCAACATATCCCCTTGCCATGAGCCTCACTTGCTGTGTGGGCTCCTTGGGTCCTACTCATGACATCATGAAGCCAGGGGCCAATAAGACCACCATTCCCAGGCCTTCCAGGTGTAGCCAAAACAGCATGAGCCAGACCCAAGACAGACCTGAGCTCTGCCCTTCAGCACTGTCTTACGTTTGTCAACCTGGCTATGCTTGTTCTCCCAGCTGTAAAATGAATAAAAGAACAGAGCTGCAATTAGGATTAAACGAGATTACGTATGTGAAGGCACTTCTATATTCAAGGGGCCCAGCTTCTAGTTTACCAACTGAATGTAGAAAGGAAAAGATGCAATAGGCAAAAAAATGTGCACTAAAAAAGTGGTATCTCATTCCAAAAAATATGAATGAACTTCAGCAAGATGTGATAAAATGGAACCAGATTATGGGACGTTCACCATCATAAAAGAGTACTAGTTCAATCCCAGGTCATTCCTTAAACAGGAGCAGCAAGGGGGCAATGAGCGGTTTCAGGGCAGCGGTGGCTCCTGGATCATACTGACAGACCTGGCAAGTGCACCTGGGGCCAGAGACAACACTGTCTTCCTGTAGGCTTACCTCCTGCTCAGGTTGCCCAGGCAGCAAAGGCCAACTTTCCAAACAAAGGCAATGATGCTTCACATGGAAGCCATGTTGTCTGTCTCAACAGCCTCTGGATTTGGCTGCCCACACTTTCTCCCCATTACCAGCCGAATGGGGGACATAAAGCAAGAGTAAACCCAAGCCTTTTCTGGCTCCATTTGTCTGTCTCTGAAAGGTTCATAGTGCTTCACCAGTTCCCATCATCATCCCTTCTATTCTCTCATCACATACAAGGTTCTGGCAAGACGTGGGTGAATATGCAAAAACATAATCCATGCTCTCCCATTCCTTCATCCTAGAGTATAGGAGTGGTAGAGGGAAGGAGCAGGTGTTTGGGCTAGGAAGGGAGGTGGGGTGAGGGGCGAGACAGGAAGTAGAAGGGGAGGAGCCAAGTTTAATTTCAGTTTTGGCCGGAGGAGGTGATGTAGGATGCAACCAGAGCAGAAAGGGAGGAAGCAGAGAGGGTGGGGATAGGGCTAACCTCACAGCTTCTATTCACCAGTTTGCCTTCTGCTTCTATTCCAGTGCCAGAGGCCACCATAAAAGAGATATAATGAGGGTCCCAGAGGGGACAGCTCAGGAAATTATATATTCATTGCGACCTGAAAGGCCACTTCGTCACACAAATCAATCTTATGGCACCAAAAAGCAAAAATATGAGCCTACTGTGATCAAACTGATGGTTTCTTTTATATATCAATGGCACTCAATGTAAATGATCTTAAACATGAGTTTTTTCCTGGTTTTTTTTTCTTTTTTTTCATGACTGCCTGATTGCTAGATCTTCAGCAAAGTGTTCATGGAATTATGGTGATGAAATGAATTCCTGGTGAGGCCAATACTTCATTCACTCATCCATCATTCCACAAATACTTTAAGGTTGAACCTTAGGAAACAACTGTGCAGATCAAGAGTAGTCCAACACTGGCAATTTTGTAGTGTTCTGTGTACTCGGCATTTGTGCCAGGACGATGCTAAGTGTAAGGGATTTTGCATCAACGAAACAGACGACGCCCCTGCCCTCACAGATCTATATCCTAATGGGGGTGGCAGAAAAGTATCATGTAACCAAATAAAGGAAAAGTATAATTTTGAATTGTGATTAGTGTTATGCAAAAGAAAAGGAGTCTGACAGAGTGTGAAGGTCGGGGTTGGGGGGCAGCTAGGGAGTCAGGGAAGTCCTAACAGAGAAGATGGCAAAATGACAGTTAAGCTGAGACCTGAATAATGACAAATCGTAAACCATGTGAATATCAAGAATCGGGATAAGCCAAGAGAGAGAACCCCAGAGTGCAACCTCCAGTCTAGGTCAGGCTACCAGTCACATGGGGACCAAGAGAGAAAGGTCAAGAACTTCTTACAAACCCTGACTTTCACCAAGGACACCCACACCGGAGCCTTCTGCGGGTTGGTCAATATTTTATCATCAAATATACCAGGTATCATTCTATGCCTGGCATAATATGAACAGTTTCATTATTTCATTCACTAAATTATGCTATATTACAATTTTAATTGATGAGCACAGCACTGGTAAAACGAGGACTTCCACAGATGGCTACTGCCAATGTAAATTGTCAGCCATTTTTGTTTGTTTGTTTGGGATTTGTGTGTGTGTGTGCATGTTTTACAAAAGCAATATTGCAACACAAAGAAAAAGCCATAAAGATGTTCCTATCCTTTGGCCTAGCAACTCCATCCCCAGGGGATTTATCCTAAGGAAATAACCTGGTTCAGTAGAATAAAAATGTTCTCTGTCTGAAGAACTCCAATGAGGTGTTAATTGTTGCAACAAGGAAAGAAAAACAAAAACACCTGGAATAACCTAAATGACTGCAAATAGGGGTTTTTTTTTTCAAAAAACAGGATAATTCATTTGATAAACTAGCATATCACCATTAAGCATGATAATAAAAATTATATACAGTTTCAAAAATAGAGTATAAAGCTCTCTGAAAGCAGCAAAAAAAGAAACAACTTTAATGGAAAGCATGTTAATGATACCTCAAGGTGAAAAAGAACAAGAAAATTGAGAAGAACTGAAATTTGGGCCAGTGGGGTGGGGAATTATTTATTTCAAAAGTCCTCCCAAAATATTGTTATTATATCGTGTTTTCAATTAAAAATCCCTCAAAAACAATAGTAATCTCTGAACAGTGCAATAAACCCAAACCAAACCCAATACCGTCAATTCCAACTCACAGTAACCCTATAGCACAGAGCAGAACTGCCCCATAGGGTTTCCAAGGCTGTAATCTTTACAGAAGCAGATTGCCACATCTTTCTTCTGTGGAACAGCTAGTAGGTTCAAACTGCCAACCTTTCAGTTAGCAGACGAACGCTTTAACCACTGTGATAACACTGCTATAGAAACCCATAAAGCACAAGCATGTTCATTTATTTTTAACTTTACATAGAAAATAAACCCAAATTTGTAGAACCTGTGTTAAATTCAGCACAATTTTTCATCTGTGGATCCTGTATGTGACTCAACTTTGAATAACAATAAAATATTGCACAATTTCACAATAGCTTCCCCTCTTTTTTGGGGCGTGGTGTTCAATTGGAAGGTGTCTCATTCCACTGAATGGAAGATGGACTAAGAGGTAAGAAAAGGACCGTTAACTCCTCTGACGAGTGCACAGCACTGTGGGGACGCGGCAGGTCAGTCCCAGTGAAACCAGCCACTGGCAGCCAGGCCTCGGGCTGGTGGACACTCACCTTTCACGATCAGCTCGGCGTAGTTGGACACTCCAGAGCCCCCGTCAGAGCGGATCACGCAGCGGTACTTGCTAACACTGCGCTGGGCAGTGTCTGCCACGCTGACCGTGGCCGAGAAGCGCCTGTGGTTGACTACGCGGGTGACCATGAGGGCTGTGTCCCTGCCATTCCATTGCTGCAGGACAGAGGAAGGGAGGGAGAGGAGAAATCATCATAGGCTCCTGGATGACCCCAGCACAGAGGCGCCACCCTTCCCCAATCCCCTCGGCCCAGGTTGCTGTTGTTAAGTGCTGTCAAGTTGGTTCTGACTCCTAGCGACCCTGCGTACAACAGAACAGAACACTCCCCGGTCCTGCGTCATCTTCACAATCATTGCTATGTTTGAGCCAGGCTTTCGAACCAGTTCCTTCAGGTTTGTACCACTGCTGAGAATCTGTATTTCTAACTAGTTCCCAAACCTGTTCCGTGGAGTCAATTCCAACTCCGAGCCTCCTAGCGACCCTATAGGACAGAGCAGAACTGCCCTATAGGGTTTCCCAGGAGCAGCTGGTGGATTCAGACTGCCTATCTTTTGGTTATCAGCCCAGCTCTTAACCACTGCACCACGAGGATTCCCAGGTGATGCTAATGCTGCTGGCTGGCTAAGGACCAATTCTGAGTACAATTCTAGCACAGAAGTGGTTCTCAAAATTTATTATAGATAAGAATCACCTGGAGATTCTGGTTATATACTCAGTATATCTGGGGTGGAAATGCAAATTCTCAGCAAGGTTCAAACCAGAACGAACTGGTTCAAAGCCCTGGTTTGAGCCCAAGAGTTTCCACAGCTGGTTTTGCTAGTAATCTGATTCAAGAATTAACTTTGCTAATGAGCTGATTCCAAAGAGCAGATGCCTGGTGGTAAGGGAGACAGTAAAGGCCCATTGGATAGCGCTGGCTCCTCGCTCAGCCTGCATTTGCGGGTGGTCATGGCCCCTTCAACTCCCTTCCTCCTATATTCCTTCATCCTTTAAGCAGAACCCACAACATCTCCCCGAACACGGACTCAGCCCATGTAAAGTGAGAATGAGCAGCCCAGCTCCCAGGCCCACAGACTCCATTCCCACAGACTGTACCCTGGAAGCCACCCACAAGCTGAGCCCCACCCCCCAGGGACCAAGGTTCCCCCCAGCACCTCTCCTCCTTAGCATATACTCTTTCCTCTGCCTGGAATATTCTGTCTCCCTGAGGACATTCCTTCTCCATTAAAAGATTAAAAAATAATAATAATAATAAAAATGTTGCCTAGTACACAGAGAAATTGGAATCCTCATCCATTGCTTATGGGAATACAAAATGGTACATGGTACAGCCCCTGTGGAAAACAGTTTGGTAGTTCCCCAAAAAGTTAAACATAGAACTACCATATGAGCCTGTAATTCCACTCCTAGGTATATACTCAAGAGACTTGAAAGCAGGGATTCAAACAGATACTTGCACATCAATGTTCACTGCAGCATTATTCACGTTGCCAAAGGTTGAAATAAACTATCCATCAAAGGATGGATAAACAAAATGTGGTACATATATACAATGGAATATTAGCCATAAAGAGAAATGAAATCCTATTACATGCTACTACATGGATGAACCTTGAAAACATTATACTGAACGAAGTAGTGCAAAAGGACAAATACTGTATGCTCCCTCTGATATGAGATACGTAGAATAGACAAATGTATAGAGACCAAGGTTTATTAGTGGTTACCAGGGGCAGGAGGGAGGGAGAATGCGGAAGCCATTGTTAGGAAGCAATGAGTATCTGTTAAAAAGAAAGGAAAAAAAAAAAAAAAAACCCAGGTTTGGCTCACCAGTATCTCTGGTAGGTTCCTTGACTATCACACCACCTTCTGGAAGTTGTTCACTCATAGCGACTCTATAGGACGGAGTAGAACTGCCCCATAGGGTTTCCAAGGAGCAGCTGGTGGATTCGAACTACCAGCCTTTTTTGGTTAGCAGCCAAGCTCTGAACCACTGTGTCACTAAGGCCCCTCCCTTATGTATGGTGAAAACTTTCTACACATTTTTGCCTACAATAGTTTCCCACTTTAGACAGGGAGCACCCAGAGGACAGTGACTTTGCTACATTCATCTCCAGAAGCTTGACCTGAAGCCTCTCAATTTGGCAGACATTTCCAGAATCAAGGTGAATGCACATGAGCTTTTGTCTTCAGCATCCTGAGTTTTAGGCCTGATATTCAGGCTTTGAATATGATCCTTTTACAATAGCCAAGTGATGATAACTGGAAAGACACATGCATGTGGATACAGTTTGAGTGAATATTTATTAAGCACCTACTATGTGCTAGGTTGGAGCCCTGGCGGTGCCGTGGTTACAAGCTCAGCTGCTCATCAAAAAGGTCAGCAGTTTGAATCCACCGGCTGCTTCTTGGAAACACCATGGGGCAGTTCTGCTCTGCCCTATAGGGTCACTGGTCATGATGAGTACGAATCAGCTCAATGGCAACAGGTATGTACCAGACCATGAGCCAGGTATGTTTGCATAAATCTCCCTTTCAAGACTCACAGCTTTGTTTGAGGTACATATTATTACTGCTCTTTTCAGAAAAAGAATTCAAATGTAAGAGAGGTTCAATAAATACGTAAAGCAAATAAGTCCCTCCTCCAGATATTCCAACTCCAAGTCAAGCACTCTTTTTACTAAGACTTTATCCTCACTGCGTGCCTTAATTTAAAAAAATCTTCTCCAGGAGTGAAACTGTGTGTTTAATTGTCTGGCTGGATTTAGGGAAACCTTGTGATTTATGAGTCTTCCCATGCGATCTTCATCACTTCCTGCACAATGTAAACAGTTTCACCACACGTGCCAACCTACTCTCATCCCTGTCACCTTCCATCGACCCCATCAGTGATATGTCAAAACTGGGAAACAGGAAGGGGTCAGAGCCATCATGATCAGCTCTCAGGTAACAAATTGGAAGGACAGACCAGGGGAAGGACAGTGGGCAGGAGGGGAAGTTACACAAGGAAACTAGGCCGCCATGGGAGGGGAGCTAACAGGGACTTTCCATGCTAGACAGGGAGATTGCAGGCGATAGTTTTCTTCTCTTTTTACTTTTTGGCATTCTCCAGACTTTTGCCTTGAGCATGTATTTTGTTTATACTTGAAAATAATAAAACCAACTTTTTTTTTTTAAAAGCCATGCCAGTATGAGAGTAGCTGTAACCCCTCTCATTCCGGACACCAGTGAAAATGACAAGAAACGCAAAGAAATGGAAGGAGAATAAAGTCATTTGGGGATGAAACTGTCATCTACCTGCCTTATAGCTTGATCCGTTTTCACAAAGGTGGTGCAAACTATATTGTACCAAACTTTAAGAACCTGTTGTTGCTGTTCTCAGGTGCCATCGAGTTGATTTTGACTCATAGTGACTCCATGTGACAGAGCAGAACTGCTCCATAGGGTCTTCTAGGCTGTGATCTTTACAAAGCAGATCTCCAGGTCTTTCTACCACAGAGCCGCTGGGTGGGTTTGAACTGCCAAACTTTCAGTTAGCAGCTGAGCACTTAATTGTTGTGCCACCAGGACTCCTTTCTGAGAACCTACCAGACACCAATTCCCATTCCCAAAAGAGGAGTGGAAGGAAGAAGGAGAGGAAATCCCCCAAACACCAGGAATATGTCCTGATATGCAGAACAGAAGGCTGGAGGTGGGGGTGAACCTCAGAAAAGATGGGGTCTCCAAAAGGAGTCCATTTTTCCCACTGCTGAGCTAGGCACTCCAGGGCCACCATGGTGGACCCAGAGGAGTGAGTGACAAGGCTTTGGGTGGATATTTTCTAATCTGATTTATTCTAACATCATAAGCACTTTTGTCATTTTCTCTTTTTAAAGCTAGTAGCAAGTAAGCATTATTATGTGCTAAGTGTTTTATATGCTTTCTCGTTTATTCTTCTCCAAAATCCATAAGGTAAGCACACTTATCACCACATATGAGGAAGGTCCCTGCATGGCGCAAACAGTTTCACTCAACTACCAGTGTAGAGGCTGGCAGTTCGAACCCACCCAGCATCACTGTGCAAGAAGGTCCTGTTGACCTGCTTCCATAAACATTATAGCTAAGAAAACCCTAAGGAGCAGCTCTACTCTGTAACACAGGGGTCACCATGAGTCAAAATCGACTCAATGGCAATAAGATAATATAGGAAGAAGCTGAAGCTCAGAGAATTGAATTGCCTGCCCAAGGTTGCATAGCTTGAAAGTGGCAGAGCTGGGATTTGACTGCAGGTCATCCACAGCTAGTCCTTATAATGCCAGGCATGTTACTCTGATACGGGGTTAACTACTCTCCCACCACTCACCTCCTCACACACTCTCATCCCCAAATATGGGAGGGTGGGGACAGGAGGTATGACCAGGATCAACCTACCTGCTGCCAGTTTATTAGCTGTAGACGAAAAAGTGAAGTGAAGGGTTGAGGACAGGATGCTGTATAGTGAGAGGGGGAGAAAAGCAAAAACGCACATGGTCTGACCAAACACACAGCCCACAAGACACAGGGCTTTTCCTCAGACATCCAATGCTTTGAATGGCCAAGAAATTAGGGGGGTAAAAAGGGAGAGATTGAGACAACGTGCACATGGGGGCTCTACAAAGCACGAGCTAAGTGGTGAGTGGATAAGGCAAAACACTGAGAAAGGAAGTAAACCTTGAGGAGTCAAGGGGTGGACTGTAGGAAACAAGCAATGCCATTTGCAGAATTCAAAATGACATTAGAAGTAAAGAGCAGAACAAGCTCTTTACTTCCAATAAAGAAAGACAGGCTTGAAAAAGTAACCCTGATAGTAAAGAAAGCAAAGATGAAAGGAATTGGAGAGAGACACACTGATAAAGTAAATGGACAACAGAGCACTAACTACCATATAGATAATTCGTGCTCCTGAGAAAGAAAGCTGAAGAAATACAACACATATCCTACTCTAACAGTATGTTAGTTTACCTTCCTGAAGTGAGGAGCCTTGGTGGAGCAGTGGTTAAGAGCTTGGGTGCTAACCAAAAGGTTGGTAATTTGAATCTACCAGCTGCTCCTTGGAAACCCTATGGGGCAGTTCTACTCTGTTCTATAGGATCGCTATGAGTCAGAATTGACTCGACAGCAATAGGTTTTCCTGAAA